TTACAGGAGAGATAGATAATGCTTGCAGACAAATGTTACCAGCTGGAATTCACTTCAATGTTATTTCATAAAGTGCTAAAATGCACTGAACCCTATTATTTTGCCTTTTATTTAGATATTTGTGGTGAGCAATGAGGAGGAACTGGAGCGCCTCCGCACAGATAACGCTCTTGCATTCCGTAAAGACCAGAGATCTCTCTATTTCAAAGACATTGATGGCTGGCTGCCAATCCAGGTATAAATGCATGTAGCAACAATGCAATGTGTCCTTAAAAAATAGATATTGACTTTCAAACAGCCTTTTCCTTTTATGTTCACATTTTTTAAATTCTGCAAAAGACCTTTCCATTCCAGATCACGCCCTACCAGTCCATGGAAAATGCCCCCGATGATGAAGGTTACTGTGGGGACGGCATAGTGCATATCTCCACCGGGGAAGAGTGTGATGACAAAAACAGAGTTGTCACCGATGGCTGCGTCAGTAAGTCATGCATCTATGTTACCGGTCCTTTTATAGTTCATTAGCTGTACTTTGCTGTGCACATATAACATGACCCCCCTGTGCCCCTGCTGTCTCATGTTACCATAGAGTGTAAACATGCCTACTGTGGAGACGGATACCGCTATGAAGGGGCTGAGGAGTGTGATGGAAAAGACTTTGGATACCAGACATGTAATTCATATCTTCCAGGGTAAGCATACAGCATTTGGGTACACAACCTTGTACTGTGTGAAAAGATGTAGGTGTGAACTTGACCTGAAAACGTTTTTCTTATGATTTGTAGGTCATATGGTCACCTCAAGTGCACAAGATACTGTACTATTGACTCAACAAACTGCAAGTACTTTACTTGAGGAGTTGTCTGGACAGTGCTGTGGCTCCTCTGTGTGTTATTTGCTTGGGACTTAACATGTAAAAAAAAAAAAAGAAAAGAAAAAAGAAAAGACAACAATGCTCCAAGCAAAAACACGGAGGCTGCCGGTGATTCTGTTATGAAAGAAAGAACAAAACCTAGAAATATACAAACATACATAAAACTCATCTGTATTGCTGCTGAGATGCCACATATCTCCCCGGAGGTTATAGCTTGAGTCTTTGAAGGTGAAAATCCGCACACTGGAAATGCAAAGGAAGACTGCACGCTGTCTTAACGAGAAGGATTTGGACTGGCTTCCTCAACATGCCCGACTGGACCCGAACCAGCCTTTCAACGCAACAGTTGAGAGCCTCAATTGCGTACCAGTGGACGATGTTGCAGAGAAGCAGTAGCTGGAACAGAGGCATATTAATCTTGACCCAGTTACTGTTGAGAATAACAAGCAGTAGGACATCCAGAGCGATGGCCCGAGGTATTCTACTGCAGTGTGAATGACAGTGCACACCATTTGCATGTATCTGGGATTACTAAAACCACGACAGCAGCTGTCACTATCAAAGCATGTAACCTATCAGTTTACTTATTACTGTCAAAACAACTTTCGTACTGTGTCCTCTCACTACCACGTCGAGATACAAAGGTAGGGATGGAGATAGAGGTGGTTATAGTGCACTACATACTGTATGTATAGCGAGTTATGCACTTGTAATCTTTGAGTGAGACTGTTACTCCAGAAGCCTAGAAGTTGACCCAGCTTTGTTAGCTTGTGGTGGTACTGTACTGACAGGGACATTTAGTCTGGACAAGGTTTCAATAAATCCCCAAATCTTCTCAGGAACTAGCTAACAGGTAATGTAGCTCAACAAACAAAGCACCTTTTACAGGTATCCTCTACTGCTCTTTATAAATTACATGGCAGTGACTGTACACTGAGGCAACTCAAGCAAAAGCTTTAACGCATCAACAATGCGCAGTACTGCAGGATTCAGTTTCCCCTCCTGTGCTGCAGTGAGAAATTAAATATACTGTACACGAAGGCTTGAAACTGTTATGTCCTTAATTTTCTCGGTACACGGGAAGGGCTGGACTAGTCTGTAGCTGCTAAAGGGGGGAGGGAGAGGAACTCAAATCGCAGTCTGTTTTCTGATCATTACTGTACATACTCTGATACCTCTTTATCCAGTCTTTCTGTCTTACAGTATATACAGCAACAGTAAACTTAACAGTGTAGGTGTAGTCTGCTGTGTGTTGGGCACAAATGCTGAAAATGACTGTGCTGATATAAGTTGACATTTTCCATAAGCTACTCTTTGAGTCGCGGTGCCAAGGGAGACCTTTTCTCAGACATACCTAGATGTAGTCAGGTCTATAAAGCCTACAAAAGCAATCAAAAGATGAAGACTGTTAATATATTGTGTCCGCATGCTTGTGAAACTCTGCTAATGCTTCACCTTTGTCAAATACCGTTTTGTAAATCATCATTGCATTCATCAGCATAGCAGGTGTCTTAAGAACTGTCAGTCTTGCTCTGTTCAGAGAGAAGCAAAGCACTGTATGAATGACAAACCTTAAAGCTATGAACTGTGCCATGCACAAAGCTCGAGTACCGTTCTGGAAACTATGTTGAGTGTCGTGTCTGTGGCCTGTGCTGCTGTGTTCTATCTTAGACTGCCTATGTACAGCAATGCTGAAACGTGCATGTGGTGACGTGCTGTAAGGCTTTATGAAGCGTAGCAAGCATTGTGACTGGGGTAGTTCATTTTGTTTTAATACTCTGATATGATTTTTACAGTAGTTGTGAACTATTTTAAAAAAATGATCAAATAAAAGTGATATTTAAGTCACTCTCTTTATTTAAACTTAAACCTTGGTTAGCGGTTTGTCATGTCTGCTGTTATTGGAAAAAGCACACACACAAAAAAACCCAAACCTAACTGGCATTAATGGAGAGGCTATTGATGTTTTCTTAGGATACAACACTCAGACAAAAAAGTAAGGGGGACATCTATCAGGGGATTAGAGGGGGGAAAAAACGTATCGCAGCAGTCAGCCGTTTGCTGAGTGCTGCGTTAGTCTAAATGCAAAGCAGACCACACAGTGAACTCTTGCTGTTTCTCAGACGTGGCAATGGGTTTTTCGGCTTTTTATTCCATCTTAATGAAGCCTTTCAGAGCTGAATCTGTGCCTGGAGATGAGGCACAGTGATACAGGTTGGGGACAGACCAGCCGGCCACTGTTGCAACCAAGATGTTTGAAGCAGGATGAAACCATATAACTGTATTAGCATGCTGTATTCCTCTTCTAAATCACATCAGGGCAATTTGTCTACCGAGATGCCAGAGTAAAACCTTACCTTGGTGTATTTATGCCATCATGTGCAGTGCCCTGACCGGGGCAATCACATTTGTCAAACAAATGTCCCAGTGTGGCACTAAATGTCACTGAAATTCAAGGGCTGACCTGATTTTACTGGCTCTGTAATGAAAAGATGAGCTGTGGTCACAGAAGAATCCCTCAAGTGAAGTTTACCATTTGTGAAGTAAGGTCAAATTAACTTATGAGCTGTATCCCGTGCATTTTATTAACTTATTTATGTAGTGTAACTTATAGCAAGCTTGGTCTATGTTCAGCTCACATAGGTATTAAAATGATACCTATGGAAAAATGACACTCTTTTTCCACTAAAAGGTTATTTTAGTGTATATTGACTGGTGTAGCATTACAGCTGTGGTACATGGGGCGATGCAAAGGAAACCACAGGACAGGAAGCTGGCAGAGACCCAACTGCTTCACCTAAGCCAAGTGAAAATCCCTGACCTATAGACAAGAACTGCTGGTATCCTGGGTGGAGTGGTGCTAATTAATGCACATGCAAAATGATCATTTGAAACAGAAAATGATATACACAAGTATTATTTAAGATTGGTACCACAGTTGTTAAGACAAACTATTTACTATCTATTTCTTACTCAACAGTCACTGTGTTAGGTACATATTGAAAACACTGGGTTGGAATTTATTTTGCCTTCAAAATTTTGACCAAAAGATTTTGGTCAAAATTGATAATAGCATCACTGAGTTGCTGCAGATTTACAAGCTGTACATCAGTGATGAGAATCTCCTTTTATGCCAAACACCTCAAAAGATTTTTTTTAATTTAGCCTTTGAGACCAAGTGTCTCACTTCCGAGAGACCTGCTCCAGACAAACATATTAAAATTACAACAATAAAAAATAGCTAAATATGTATAACGTACACAGTCATATTAAAACATGAACAAGTTCCCAGAGATGATTTCATAAAAACATTTGTATGTCTTTTAAAGTCTGCAAGTGAAATCAATTGAGAGAGCTTCTGCAATGTACTGCATGAAGACAGGACAGAAAAGGACAATGCCTTCTTCCCAAGCTCTGTACGAACTGATGTTGCTGAAGATGCTCTACTGCGTTGAGATTTGGTGACTGTGAAGGCCGTTTGAGTACAGTGTACTCACTGTTATGTTCAAGAAACCAGTTTGAGTTCATTTAAGCTTTGTAGCATGGGACATTATTCTGCTGGAAGTAGCCATCAGATGTTAGGTACACTGTGGTTATAAAGGGATGGACATGGTCAGAAACAATACTGAGGTAGGCTGTGGGGTTTAAACAACGCTCAGTTGGTGCTAACATGCCCAAAGTGTACCAACATCATTACACCACCACCTGCCATGACCATTGGAAGGGAGAATAGATGCATGCTTTCATGCAAAATAAACATTCAAGGTACTCTACCATGTGAATTTCACAAAAGAAGTGGCACTCATCAGACCAAGCAACATTTTTCCAATCTTCTATCGTCTTTGCCTTTTTCAGATCATTCCCTGTAAACCTCAGAAATGGTCATGCAAAATAGGAAATTCATTGGAAGTCATAGTAGTTCAGCAGTTTCTGATCTGGTACAAACAGCCATGCCACGCTCAAAGTCACTTAAATCAAGTCACTTCAGCAGGTCATCTGCACTAACAGGTGCACCTAATAAAGCAGACAGTGAGTGTCTAGTTGGCACAGTAAGTAAAGAGCCTTTACCTCTAGGTACGTAAACCATATGGTAGCATATTTAACTTCAGCATAACAGAAGACAAACTGCAACTTAATTATGTTTATTTTGCAAAAAAATCAAATAGCATCTTATTTACATCCATAGAAAAAACAATTATTTGTTGTGATATTACAACAGAATATCTTAAGGATTAATATTAAAACTCATCAGAAATCAGCCTATTGCACACCTGTGATGTAAACCTACTGCAAATGACTTATTTACTGTACAGGGGTTTTTAGTGTTTGCATTCTTAAAATAAAAATAACAATAATAAAGTTGTAAATACTATCCGGTAAGTTTCTTTTTAAAGCCCTAAGATAATTTTCCTGCTTTTTTTGTTTTGTTTTTTTCAAATGGCTCAGTGAATTTGCAGTCAAATGTTAACCCAGCCTGGAAGAGCTGTCTTACCGATCATTTCCACTAATTCGACATCAATAAAATATTAAGTACATCTGGTAACAACACTTAACAATGGTATGTACAATAGCATGGACGATAAGCTGAAAATGGTTACTGTTCTGTAACTACCACTTTTAGGATTACTCATTTACTCACTTCAAGCCCTTGGCCTTGCACCTGTTGCTAAATACACCAAACATGCAGTAAAAAGCATGCCTTATGAATACAAATGTCCATACATTCACACAAAAGTCGGACAGAACGATCCATGTCATTAATGTGAACTTTATAACTTATGGTATAATAAATAGACATTGTAAAAATGCATAGGTTTGTGCAGATGTCCACATGAACAGCAGTTGTCAATATTTTTAACAGCTATGCGGTTTCCTTTCTTGTTTTCAGTTACTGTAGGCAGCAGAGGCTAAAGCCATTCACATGACAGTTCCTTTTTGGTCCACTTGGAAACTTTGAGCAACAGCTCACAATGACATTATGTAAAACACAACAAATCCATTGTCAAACTGCACAATCTGAATTCATTTCCAGGGAAAAATATATACACATAGTAATGTTTACTAAGCTTTTATAATAAGTACAGGAAAATATTTACATAACTGACTAAAAGTTAGCTTAGTACGTAATTCAATCACATACTTAAGACACATTTTGGGAATAGTTTTTGCTAAAAAAAAAATAGTGCTTTGTGCTAGTTGGAAGCATCATCGTATCTCACTGAAGCCAAGGAGAAAAAAAACAACATTGATAAGTTTCATACTGACCATACTGATCAATTCAAAGGGAATCAAACAATTTTACAAGGAACTGACCAGAACCAAATACCCTGTGCTTAAATACCTTAAAGCATGTAGAGTACGCCTTAAGCCACAATACAGCAACAACCAGAAACAAATGTCACCATGAATAATTATGGTTGGAGTCTGCATAATAAGATTAGAAACACCTTCGCTGTCACCGGTCTCTGGAACAAGACCTGGAATTTAAATCTCCTCAAACCAACCTTAATTAATTGTACTGCTCAGTTAAACCCTTCTCGGGTCGTAAGTACACACATGAACACCGTCTTCATAGCAAAACCTCTCCTGCTGTAGAGTTTAAAAACTACTGAAACGTCTCAAAATGACACGAGACAGTCTCACACTACTTTGTACACCTTTCTTCCAGCAGTTAGCCACTACTCTGTCCATTCAGAGGGGCTCTGTTCTTCTCTGAACCGTGAGCATCTCTTGTTCTTATTTCACACCACCTCATCAGACTCAAGGTTGTATTCTTCATATAATGCATCAAGAATGGCCAGCTGCTTCTCCATGGCAGGCAGATACACTCCCAGATCCCTGTGCATGCCGTTGATAAAATCGCTCTTCAGCTCGTCACCTTCTCTTGACACTAAAGCAGCTGTGAAACTTTGATAAGACGGGGAAGCTCTGAGCGCCAACTGTGGGGGGAAAAAAAGTCAAGTACTTGTCACACAAAGAATAAATATCCTCAGAAGGTATTAATACTGGACTGGGTAAAAAAAAAAAAAAAAAACCTACAGCAAATACACCACGGACAACCCATCCGTGGTACTGCCGAAGAGTCTTCCCATAAGCGTTGTCTGGGTGAAAGAAAAGAAGGAACATGACAATTCAACACTTTTACATGTTTGAACTTATGTTAAGCTGTGCATTGTAAAACAGAAATGCATTACTTAGTGCTCCCTGGATGTCTTGCTCTCCAGCGTTGACTTCTGACAGAAACTCCTTGAGGAACTTCAGCCCTCGTCTGAGCCACAGCAGAGCCTCGGTTGCAGAATTGCGCACCTGGGCAACATCTGTCTCTACTTCATGCAGCACAATAGACTGTAGTGTAGAAAAGCTCTCAGGGTCTGACCTCAGCTTCTGGTGAATTTTCTACAACAGAACACGAGACACTGTGACACAGTACTCTCTACTCTGGTAGACTAAGCATTATTCTTGTTCTGACTTTCAACGACTAACTGCAATTAATGAATATTTAATACACAGTATATAGTTATATATGCTTGTTGACAAAAAATATTAACAAGAAATGGACAGAACACTAAAGCTAAACAAAAAAAGGGGAATGAAATAAATGCCTCTTTATTGACAAACTGTATGACTGATTGGACTTTACTCTTTAATGCAGTTTTGAAAACTTCACTGTTATTCCTTCGATTAACTAAAACCATGTGCTCTTACCTTGATGTTTCCAACAAAATCCATTTTAACTGGTGCAAACACTGTGGATCCCAGTTTGTCTGAGAAGAGAGAATCTATGATAACTTTTTTTTGCTGGTTCTGAAGCACAGATTCTCAACTTGTGTCCTATTTTGAGTGCACAATGTTTTGATGTTTTTAAGTAATAACAGGCTGCTTAGATGTCCTTCAGATTTAAACTAAATATAACACTGAAATGAGCTATTACGGTGCACTCTAAGACCTACTGGACTGTATTAAGTATAGGATACACACAGACAAAAATAGGTTACCATCACTGTGGGCTGTAAACTTTCAAACAAAGCTGGGAATAAGCTTTAGCTAAGAGGTCACGTTAGTTCAGATACAAATTTAAGCTTATTGAGATGTTTTATGTGTTTATCTATAGACAACCATTACATGCATCAAGTGTCTCTCTTATAAGTAATTTTAACTTTAGAAAACAGCTCACTGTAAGTAAACTTTACTGATGTCAGTTCATGTGAAATACAGACTAAAATTCCCTTCGACCTCTTACATTTGTGCTAATTGAAAACTGTTGTTCAAAGATAATTCCTGATAATCCTACTTCAGCCTTGGTATTTGTTAACACAGGGATAACTCTGACAAACAAGGCAGACCCTTTTTATAAAAGAAAACAAAAAAACAATGTTTTTGGCTCCATGTTACTCAGGTCTTGCACTTCTTCACTTTGTAATTCTGTGAATGGCGACTTTTTATCATGACGTAATACACTGTGAGTAACAAAGGATGCACACAGCACAAAAATGTGCATGACCTAATTCTTATGATTAACCTTGTCATATGATATTATTTTGGGCTACAAAGAACAACTAAAGACAGATAATACATGTGCAGAAAGAAAGTAACAGAGGCATGAAGGAAAAGTGTGATGAAGAACCTGTGATAGAAAGCTGCCACCTCATTAATTGCAAAGATTATGAAAGACAGAACATATACATAAAAGAGGGGGAAAAAAACAGCAAATGAAAGTGATTGTTTTTTTTTTCTTTATCGGAGTTAAAAATGCTGAAATTACAAGAAATGCAAATGGAAACCATGAGAATTAGGAACAGGGTGTCAGATAAAGATGAAGAGAGGCTTAAAGTAACCAGCCTACCTAATACAGGTACTATTGCATAGCATGAGTCCAAAAACTCTTGTGTAGGGATACCATTGTCGTCATCCAGTCTTATATCACTAAATCTAAAAAACAAAAAACAAGAAGTAGAATAGATTCAAACAGCAGAATATATTAGAGGGAAGCTATCCCATATCAGTTTTTATTTGACCAAAAGCAAACAGAAAGAAAACATGATAATAAAGATTAGAAGAACAATACTGTGGATGCTTAATCAACATCCACACTAATTAGAGGAGCATACATTTCAAAACCAAGCCAGAGAGACAAGTCACACAAAACATCATGCAACTCTGACAAAAGGACCCAAGACTACTTCATCTAAAACTTAACAGAGCTGTGGTTTTCACTAATCTTTCCCTTTGTTTGATTCCTGCATTACAATAACATTCACCTCAAACAGTACAGATGTAAATCACACTCTAGCCACATGTTCGATTACACTCTCAGAATCTTAAAAAAAAAAAAGTATTTGAAAAAGAAAGAAAAGTTAACAAAACAGGTTTACAAACCCAAATATCAGACGAGGGCCTCTCTGTGTCATGTGATCAAGAGAGAACACACTGATATAAAACACTTGACTGTAAGATCTTAAAAACTGACTTTTTCAAACTTGTTATTAAACTATTCTGTGCAATACTGCAGCACTATTATTATTAACAAACTAAGTCACTGTGCATTCTAGTCAGAAGATACAGCACAAGCGCAGAGCCTTAGTTACAAATATACTACACATATAAATTAAATGAGTTTAATACTGCAGCAGTGAAATATCACAGACAATTGTATAGTTAAATTCCCACAGTAACTAAAGTGTCCTAAGGGATGTGAGCTTCCTGAGTGGCATTTTCATACCTGTGACTCATTGTGCTGAAGAATGTTTCCACCTGCTCTGTGTCTTCTGACTCAGTTGACTTTCTGGGAATCTCGCCTTCTTCTTCGCCCTCTTCTTGGTGCTGAAGTCGAAAATCCTTCACGTCCCCATTGTTGTTGTCATGCGCCTGACTTTGGTCCACTTTGTCCATCTGCTCTTGTCCTATCTGCTTTTGTTCATCATCTTCACTCTCGTCATCCCCCTCTGCTGGCTGGTCATAGTGTTCAATCTCAGGGGTGGTCTGGGTAGTAGGTAAGCTAGGATTAACTTGATCCTTGTGGACTTCTGAGCTGCTGGCTGTTTCAGTGTCTGCATGAAACAACGATGCATGAGTCTTTTTGCAAATTAGACTGTCAAAAATCAGTCTACATTCTACACATTTTTTTATTAAACATGACCTATGACCCTGAGAAAGCTACTCCAGTAGCATCACAAATTCACAGTTGGTACAGCAACTCAAGTCATTTTAGGTTCCTCATCTCTCCCTGTAAGACAACTTTCTTCTTATTGGCTGCTGCTTGCAAACAGAATATTTGAATAGCAGGTGGGGGAAGCGGCTGCAACCAGAGCCAGAGCTGTATAGCTGAGATGACAATATGAAGAAATACGAGCACTCACAAAGAGACAGCTATCTTTTTAAATGCCTATATTGCATATTTTAATTTATTTTTTATGCTACATTAAAATACAATATAAGAAAATAAACATTAAAAACCTCTGCATCTACACTGACTTACTATATATATCCCAATCAAAGTAATAAAGTATGAAAAGACTAGTCTTATTTCTCAGCAATGGCCCCTTTGTGTAAAGGCTTTGTCACTGCTAAGGGAAATGTAATAATGGAACAAGTCATCCATCACTGTACTCACTAAAAGGCAATAATCTATTCACTTCAGTTCATAGAATACACAAACAACAACCAGGGCCCTTGAGTGCTGTGTAGTCTTTCCTTTGTGGAATGCGGTAATGGTTTTTAGTTCAGGAACTTCCCCAGCAAGAAAAGCGAGTGGCTGGCAACCTGACCTACCTGATGGAGAAGAATGGTTTTCTGGTCTGCCTGGCTCATCTGGTCCCTCTGCCCCAGAGTCAGGGGTCTGGCTGTCATGTGCAATTGTTTCTCCTGAGGTTTCGGACAAATCTTTCCACCTGTAATATGTTTCAGGACAATTTGTCAATTCTAAAAAGCTGGGACAGAAATTATTCCCTTGACAAAATGCAACAACAATGGCAGAATATCAACAGAAACCCTTTGAAACTGTATTTTTGTTTGAGCATCTCTTTGCTCTGTGCTACCTTTAGCACCTACGTGGCACTTCATGAGAGATAAAATCATTCATTATAGTAAGAGAAGCCACCTACTTTTCTTCAAGGTTCTGATTTAAATGATGGCTGTGTTTAATCTGTGGAGACAGCACAACAGAGACAAACACTGGATGACTACACATATTTAGATTTTTGGAAAACAATCCCAGAGCAATTATACTAGCTTGCCCACACAGAGCTGGTGAGAGAAGTATACCTTCTGAGGTTTGATGGGTGCTACTGGAGGAGTTCCTGGTGGACTCTGTGTTGCCAAATCTGTAGTGAAAGTACGATTTGCTATCTGCATGCATTCCTCTAGAGTCTTAAGGAAAGTCGTGCATGTAGACTTCACCATATTCCCAGTGTCTAGACCCATCTGAGAAGGAAACATAAACATACATGTTGGGTGTAGATTGCTAACGAAATCTGCTAAAATCCAAGCCAAAAGATTCAAGACGTATACGACAACTGTTTCTTGTCTATTAATACGTACATAGCAACTGCAAACTAGCTACTCTATACTGCAGTTTCACACTAACAGCAGCATATCACATTTCATCAGCTCATCCAAACTTTAACCTTACCTCTGCCGTGTCTCCTAGCTCATCATTCTCCTTGATCTTGTTTACTTGTTGGAGGAGAAGGTCACAGTACAATCTGAGTTCTGACATCTTAGTTTTCAGCGCCTCTGTATTCTCCTGAAGCTCTGTATTCATTGTGCACACAGACAGCAGATCAGAGTTTGAGAAGTTGTACAAATGCCTTACAACACTTGTATGTAAGTATGATCTGTACTATTCCAGGTCTAAACGCTTTTACCCTGTTTTTACTTGCAACAGTATCTTGTAAAGTATCCAAATACCTTTTTCTCTCTTGGTTCGGTTGTCTGTAAGGCAAGCTTTGGCTGTTCCCAGCGCCACCAGCCATTTCTGCCTTTCTGCTGCATTGATGGCTCTGAGGTAAAAGTACTGCTCTCCTGGTATGGTCAGGTCAACTCGTGTAGAGTCGGAGGAATGAACTAAAAAAAAAAAACAGCAGCAAGCAAGGGAACATGCCTGTCAGTACTGCACCCAAAGGATGCTTGCTCTGGTTAAACCGTGCACAGAGTAAAGTGGAGCACACCGACCTTGGATTTCACAAACGGAAATTTTAATGCTGCCCTTGCACCCTTTCCAGGCATCTTCTTGAGAGTCATAGTAGGACAAAGTTCCTCCATGAAGCACAAACCAGCGAGGCTGCCAACCTATAAACCGCATGGGAAAAATAAGTGAATCAGTGCTGTGGCGTTACTGTAAACTGCACTTAGTTTTTAGCATTAGAAAAGTCATCAACATACAGCGTTACCCAGCTTCGTGAACTTGACAAGACTTCAGTTATGTTAGCAACAACTACTTGGTTGTGAAGTCAGATTATAACGACAGGTGGTGGACAGGACCGAGCGCTGCTAGCTAAGACTGACGTAACGGCTCACCTCTAATTCACTGAACAGCTAATTTATCAAAGAAAGGAATGCTAGTGGTCAATACGCTACCAAAGCTGGCGGGCAGCTAACAGTAGCTCGTCCGTTTTAACGTCACAAACTCGCTGTCATGCTAGCTAGCAGCCTCAAAACGAGCTCTACAACGGAAAGCACACAAAGACTTTAGTGTTAACCTACCACTTATGTAATTGGTCCACTTATACAGCATTCCTTCCATTATTTAATTGCGTGTTTTTCCCGTTCATTACTTGTTTATCACAACAGGACGTGATGCCCAGCTGACTGTAGCGACTCCATTGGGCCCCGAGTGTGATTTGCGGAGTAACGTCCACCGTTTTGCATTTCAACTACGTCGATAAAAGTGCGTAAACTTTTTCGTGAATCTGCCACTAGCCGATCCTGAGCGTTACTATCGCCTTTCTTCACCCACCTCCCTTCCCCTTCGTCATATGTGTTTAAGTAGCCTAGGTGTGGATTGTAGTGATTGGCACATGGAAGTATCAATGAAAGAAGAGATTCTAAAGAAAGGGCGGGGCTTAGGAATGACGCTATCCAATTGCAGATGGAGGAGGGCAGACAGCTCAACAGTGGATGCATTCGTCGCAGAAGTTGGGTGCCACGTATGGCATTCTTTACATGTCTTTATTTTAAATTCTGTAGAAAGAGAGAGTGAAATTGAAGTTATCTCATCCACTTCTCATGAGTAAGTGCTGTTATCTATAAGTATGATCTTGTTTTCTCTCTGCTCGTTATTGGCATCACTGTTTGTGTTGGTCACTGGGGGAAAACTGCCCGAGCCCGAAGTGAAAATTGAGGTGATACACAAACCCTTCATGTGTCAGCGCAAGTCAAAAAACGGAGACATGCTTCTTGTTCATTACGAGGGATTTCTGGAGAGTAATGGCACCATGTTTCATTCCAGGTAATAAATGTAACAGTGATGCATGTATTGCATATACTTTAGTCTCAATCCTTGAGTGTACCCACTGCTTATTAAAACTGTACTCCGCTGAACATATGCAGCTCATATTTCTGCGTTTGTGCAGCTGTACAGTCAAACTCAACACTTAGCCACTTATATCCTCACATAGTTGGCTGGCACTCACTTAACCCTCATTCCACTTACATTTGGCATATCAGTCCTCTGTATGGCATCCGGATATTGACTGCATGTCTCTTTTTGACTCCTGATAGCCGCAAACATGGGGATAAAAACCCTGTGTGGCTTACCCTGGGGATCCGAGAGGTGCTCAAGGGTTGGGATAAGGGTCTGCAGAACATGTGCACAGGGGAGCGCAGGAAGCTGACTGTACCTCCATCGCTGGCATATGGCAAGGAAGGAAAAGGTAACACAAACTATGTGCAACATATACAGAAAAAAAAACGTTCCACTGTAACATCTCTGTCACTTGGACATTTTTATTGGTTTACAGGGAAAATTCCTCCAGGCAGCACCCTCATTTTTGACATTGAACTCATGGAGATTCGAAATGGGCCCAGGTCACACGACTCTTTCCGGGATATGGATCTAAATGATGACTGGAAGCTCTCCAGACTGGAGGTATCTGGCTAGCTAGCTTGCGATCTGTCTGTCTGGCTATCTATTTTGTCATTACTATTTTCTCTCCGCACCTTTCAGGTAAAAGAGTACTTGAAGAAGGAATTTGAGAAACATGGCTACTCACCTAACGACACACATCATGAAGTTATGGTGGATGACATCTTCAAAAACGAGGATGAAGATAAAGATGGGTTTATATCTGCCAGGGAGTTCACCTACCAGCACGATGAACTGTAAAATACGGGTTTTTTTTTTTTTTTTATCAGTTTTTTAAAATAATATTTTCACACTATTTGAACTCCACTCTCATATTTTTGTGACTGAACTTGAAAATATCAGCTCGATGTTGTGTTATTTTATATTAAAATGACTTTTTAATTTATATTTCTATTGTACATACACTCAAAATGCCACCACAAATGCATTTAGGTCACTGTTCTGGATTCATTAAACTATTGTTTTGGAAATAAAAAAAATCTTTGTCAATTTATCTTTACTACGTTTGTAAATTAATGCCCCAAAAAAGTACATTGTGACATAGCTGGAAGTAGCCATCAAGAGACTGCCACATTCTAGTCATAAAAGCATGATAATGGTCAGTAACAATATTCAAGTAGGCTGTGGTGTTTAAACAAGGCTTTATTGTATTATTAAGAAAACAGCCTGATCTGTTGATGCAAGGTAGCCTATAATGTCTGAATGCCACAAAACAAAACAATCAACACTCATCAGACCAGGCAACGTTTTTCTAATCTTCTATTGTCCAATTTGTGTGAACCTATGCAAATTATAGCCTCAACTTCTCGTTTTTAGCTAACAGGAGTGGCACCTGGTGCGTTTTTCTGCTTCTGTAGACCATCTGCAATGAGGTTCAACTTGTTTTGTATTCAGTATTGGATTCATTTTGTATCTTGCACATACCTGGGTTGTAATAAGGGGTTATTTGAATTGTTTCGGGATTTCTATGAGCTCAAAGCAGTCTGTCCATTCTCACTCTGACTTCTGTCATCAACAAGACATTTTCATCCAGGAAACTGCCACTCACTGGATATATTTATTTGTTTGTTTTTTCAATAATCCTCTGTGAACCCTAGAGATGGTTGTGCAGGGAAATCTCAGTAAATCAGCAGTTTCTGAAATACTCAGGCCAGGCCATCTAGCGCCAAACCACACTGTGTAAGAAGTAACTTAAATTACTTTTCTTCCTCCTTCTGATGCTCAGTTTGAACTTCAGCAGGTCCTTTTGAACATGTTTAAATTCTACCATGTGACTGGCCAATTAGATGTTTGTGTTAATGAGTAGGTGAACTGGTGTAGAGGCCCGTGAGTATATGTCTGTATTTTCTTCTGTGTGTTTGTTCAGCAGTCAATAGAGGGCACTCTTGTCCTTCTTTTGTTTTCTTGAATGCTTGCAACTCTTTAATCTCTCCAAATAACAAAGCCAGCGTTCTCCCTGAGTCTCTACGTTGGCTGCCCAATTACCCAAATGAGAATGCAGCAGTACAGTCCCATATAGCACTGCTTACTGTCGAGAGAAAATCATCAGACAGTTGCAATGCAGTTTGAGCCACTTATAATGATGGATATAAATATTCCATGTGGTGAGGCTAAAATCGTTTTATCTCTTCATATTTTTCCAGTTCATTTATATTTACTAAGCTTTCAATAACTATCATGTTATATTAGTTTCATCCACAGTACTGATTTTCTTTTAGCGCTGAGGCCTAAAATGTGTCTTAGTGTTTCTTCAATCCTAAGTATACAACAGCACTTATGAGTGTATATTTAATCATATATACACAAAATCCGGCTGTCATTAAGAAGCAGAAGCAGTGTGGCCACTGTTACTAAACTAGTTAACTTGACAGTGTGGCCTGGATATGATGGTGGGTATGGAGTATCACAGCATGGAACATGGCATTTGCAGGATATTTAAGCCATACAGGATGTTGAGCAGAAGTTTAGTTTAGGGATGATTTAGCAGGCTGGTAATATTAAGTTGCAATCTGTTATGCAGCAGCCACAAGGATAACAATGCTTCACAGATGAAAGAAGTCACTAATTATTGTCAGTGCTGTCATTTTGGCTTAGCACTGATCAAATCGGCATATATCTTGTCAGTAAATCTAAGCTTCAACGGCTCCAGACGTTATCTGATGATACTGTGGAGAAAGCTTTCCAGGATGCATGAATAAAGCGCAAGTAATTTACGCCACAATTTTTTAGATGTTTATAACTAATCGCTTAATAATCTTACAAATAACGACCTAGATAAACTGACTGTGATGGATTAACGATATATTTTTATAGCAATCATTTCCTGCTAAAATGTAGTTCCAGTTAAACAAAATGCTGCCATGAACCAGTGATATGCTCTGAAGCCAGAGAGAGAATTTAAGCAACCAAACAGGAAGTGAACACTGTGGTGCAACTATGTCCTTTCTCACAAAGAGAACGACTGTTTTTTCCCTGCTCACTGCAGAAAAATTCCACCCTGCTGAACACACCTACAGGTAAAAGTGGATCAGTGGGAGGGTTATGTAGCAAGAATGAGGTAAAATGTTAAGACACTGTAGCGTTACTGGTTAACCGAGATTTAAAAAAAAAAAAAAAAAAAAGCTCTTCCAATCACTGCGCTTCAGGATATAAGCAATCATCACTAGCAACAGGGCTGGGCCTTCACTCTGCCCGAACCACTTCTACTGCAACTTACTGAAGTGCAGACTATCCCTATAAAACACACAAAACTGCAGCAGCTCACCCCATTTCAAACTCAAGCTTTAAAACCTTTAATAAATCATCATCATTTCATAAATTACATTATCAACTGTCACAAAAATACAATTTGATAAAATGGATTTGTAGAAAGGATTCAATCGAACCAAGTGTGAAAGAAACACGCCCGGTACAGCTTTAGTATGCCAGTTAAGCAAACTGCAACTCAAGCTGCACCGAGCAATGTTACTGGCAATAAAAAAGAAGAAGAAGAAAAAAAAACAACCAGATCATTATTGAAAATATTCCAAATTACAGCATGAAATACTGAAACACTGCAACATGAGCAACCGGCATGTATACAGAGGAGCTCTGCTCATCTGTTGCAGTCTTCAATAGGACATGAATAAATGACCAGTGTTTAATCCACATGTGTATTCCTCACATAACACTGAATACACTGAAAGTTGAAATGGTGCACCCACGCACGTTTGCTTCTTCTGACAGTACTCTTCTTTCGAGGACCGTTTTTGCATCGACACAAACAAGTCCACAAACAACCGGCCCCGACAGAATATATTATTTGTGACAAAGAACAATGCAGAAACACAAAAATAAACATCTGTACAAAATAAATCTATACACACGTTGCAAAAAAGTGCTTTATGAGCGCCCAATTGTCTCATTTCTTATTATTTCTCTTTGTTTGTACACAGAGTCAAAATATCGATCATTGGATGATCTGATTTTATGTACAATGACAGGATCTGCATTGTTTTATCCCATTTTTAAACCAGCATTCTTGCAAACAGTACAACATATGCACACGTCATGTTAGAAACATTAACTTGGCTGATCTGTGAGGCTTAGTTTACACAAGACCAAGCCTTCACCGACTGACAATGTGCCCAGAGCAGATTTCACACAGCACTGTCATTATGACTGAGTCTACACCAGGTAGTGACAGTCTTCAAATTAAACAGAGGAGGGAACTGCACTGTAGGTAGTTAGAAACACTGGATCCTTTCCTAGTATCTAAATGATGGTCTTGGCTGAGCGTGGAGACCCGAAACTTACAGTAACAAGACGATGTCAACACTAAAACCGACAAAGTGAAACTGTCATGCGACAATGAATTCAGACTCTTCACTAGAATTAAGGTG